GAGAGAGGGAAGTGAGTTTGGGGGTAGAGTTGTCGCATTTAGCAAAAACAAAAACAGAAAAATAAAAAGGATGCCCAGCTCAGTTTGAATTTCCGGTCAGCAAGGAATCATTTTTGAACGCTGAGTATATCCCAAATAGTGCACGGGATATACTTATACCCCCCAAATGTATTCCTGGTTGCCCAGAAATTCAAATTGAAGTGGACATCCTCTATTTTGTCCGGGAGCCTTCGCCTGGGGGAGACTGAGGAGGTGGGCAGGAAGACTTCCAGGAGGAGGAGGCAGTGGTGCCGAAAAGCGAGCACTAAGCCTCTGGTCGTGTAGCCGCTGCTGGTGGTGCGGTCCCCTCCCCCACCCACATACGCACATGCGCAATGGCCAACGCCCCGACTGCACTGGCGGAGAGCTGAACGTGGGGGTTGAGCACCACACTAGGGAAGAAGGTGGGCATGGCTGTTCTCCTTTCCTTCAAAAGTTGTGCTACCAGACATTACTCCCAGTGACTCTTGAGCTGTGTGACCTTAGACAACTCACTTAACCTCTGTGAGCTTTATCCATCCCAGGACTCTTATCCTGCATTACCCCCTCATCAACTTCCTGGCAGGGCGTCCAACTTACCAAGCATGGTCTGCCTCAGGGCCTTTGAACGTGCTGTTTTCCCGGATCTCTAGGGGGTCTCTCCTTTTCTCCCTCGCTTCTGCATTAAGAGGCCAATCTGGGAGGCCTCCCTTGCCCACCTTATTAAAAATCACACCCCCATTCTCCCATCTTCAGTCCTTTGCTTTTCTCAGTAACACCACCACCCGACCTACTATGTATTTCACTCATTTCTCGTTTATTGTCTGTCTCTGCCACTGGGTGGTGAGTACAATGCTGGGATCTGGATCTGCAGCTCCAGAAAAATGGCTGAGTTAATGAGTAGGAACGCGAATGGGTAGGAAACAAAGGCCAGCAGCCGATGTGAAACATGTAACTGTTGTGGCTGGTTGCTTTAACCCTCGTGGGGTCTCAGACTCACTTGAGAATCTGACGAGCGGCACTTGGTTACTTAGATGCGAACATTCAGTTTCCTGATGTGCAAAAGCCATATGGCGCTGGTGGCCACCATATTGAATGCCACGGAATTCCAGAGCATTCCCAGCGTCCCAGAAAGCTCTACTGCATGGTGCTAGTGTGGTCACTGTTGAAAAACCACAGTCACAGATGCCGATTTGTTTTCTTGTTCTTTCCGAGGCTTCAGAGACGCCACCCCACCCGATGTAGCAAACTTGTGGCTCCTGAGGTGAACACAGCCCCAGTTGGGTTTTGTTTGGTCCAGTGGTTTTTGTAAAAGGCAGAGCACTTTCTTTAGTCTAAAATCTTGGTGGATGTGGGAATCTCTGGGTGGGTGTCCCATAGGGCCACTCTCTGCCATGCTGCCAACGCTTCAGCGGAGGCACTTACTTCCTTCTGGCCCTTGGGACCACGTGAGTTTGAGACTTTGGTTTATAGACCAAGAGGATAAATGATTGGGGGGTGGGGGGGTGGGGTGCAAACAAATCCAAGTGGTTGCTGCTTTAGGGAGGGGTTGATCCAGGAGTCAGAGATCTGGAAGTTGGTCCCTGCACTACCCTTGACCGACCGTTTCTGGGCCTCAGTTTTCTCATCTGTAAAATGGGGATGATAAAGGAACCGTTTGGGAGGATTAAGTGGTACCATGCAGGTCAAGACCGGCAGAAGGCACTCTTTATCTGTTCACCTATGTGGCGAAGGCTCTGTTCACATTGCTGGGTCGAGCTTGGCTCCATCACCTTCTCAGGGTTGGGACTCGGTTCCTGACGCGACGGGGCATCAAACAACGATCTCTGGGGTTCTCACGGCTCCTGGAGAAAAGGGGGGACTGGGGGAGGGGGTGGGGATCCCAGAACCCGGATCGCACCTCCCTGCGCCGAGTTCATAGGATCCCGAGGTCGGGAGGGGCGCCCTTTGCTGGATCAGGCGTCTTCCAAGGGTCGCCCGACTCAGACAGAGGGCGGATCGCGCGCGCGCCCAGCAGCAGTCCGGGCCTTCCCGGACTTCACTTGTGGCTCCAACGTCCCGGACCGAGCGGGGCCGAGGCCTGACGGCGGGCAGCCTCCCGATACGATTGGTCCTCCGGCCCGTCACTCCTGAGCGCCCGCCCCCTTGACTATAAAAGCCTCCCCAGGGGGTCAGCCCCAGACGGTTTCCGAGCTGGCTGTCGCGCCCTGCACGTCCCGCTGACCGCGGTGAGAGGCGGGGGGCCCC